GGGATTAAAAAAAAAAATCCTCACCCGAGGATATATTTATTTATCCATTTAAATTAATTTGGGAGAGAGAGAGAGAAATAGAGGGGAGAGAAACATCCATCCGTAGCCTCCCGTGCACGCCAGGACGGAGATGGGGGTGGGGCGAGGGATGGAACCCGCAATCATCTTTGCCGGACGGGCGGGCGACGCTCCGACCAACTAAGCCACCTGGTGGGGGGATCAAGGGATTTTTATATTTATAAACATGTGTACATGCTGTGGGTATACCTGCCACAGGATAGTAAGGCCCGTGGCAACCATATATTCAGTGTATAAGTTCATGTCGAATGCCGTGCGGGCTGTTTAAGCATGTTCCCGTTCACTGATGCAATTGTCTAGGTAATATACCCATTTTACACACGAGAAACCGAGGTAAAACGATTTGCACAAATACACAAAAATTGGTGGGGATGCTTAATGCAAGCATGTGAGCAGCTCAAACAATTGCAAGCAGGACCATCTCTTTCTGTGCCATATGAATAGTGCCCTAGAGATCTTGGGTTATAGTCTGTTGTTCTTTCTTTATTCCCCTCTTGTCTTATCCCTCTCATGTCTCATTTGTTTTTCCTCCTTGCTTTATTGCTAGAATCTAGAATGCCTTTTTACACTCCTGATAACCTTTCAGTGACATATTCGGCCGTTTTCCCTCTCTCCTCTCCTAGCCTTTTGTCGGGGAGTGAGATGTAGTGGAAAGACAATAGCTTTCAAATTTTGGTCTGCCTCTTCATAGCTCTGGCACCCTGGGCAAGGACTGCCATGACAATTGCAAATAATGCGCCTCAAGCACCTGCCACATAAGTAAGTAGAGGTGGAGGATAGTGATTAGAAGGATAAAGTCCAGAGCCAGACTGCCTGGGTTGAGAAATCCTGGCTCTCCTGTTTAGCAATGCCATCTTGGAAACATCCCATAACCTCTCTGTGCCTCTGATACTCTGCAAGAAAAATAGACTTGATTATAGAATCTCCCTTAAAGAGTTGTGAGGGCCCTGGCCGTTTTGGCTCAGGGGATAGAGCTTGGGCCTGTAGACCAAAGGGTCCCCAGGTTCCATTCCTGTCAAGGGCACATGCCTGGGTTGCGGGCTCAGTCCAACTCCGATCAATGATTCCCTCTCATCATTGATGTTACTGTTTCTCTCTTCCTCTCCCTTCCTCTCTGAAATCAATAAAAATATATTTTAAAAAAATAATTGTGAGGGTTAAGGTCATATTATGTAAAATTATTGAAAATACCACCTGGCACAATACAATGTCTTACTATTATTACCATCATCGGGTAATCATTATTGATATGCTTACCTATGAGAAGATATTATCTACATATATTTTCTATAAGAGTGTTCTGAAGGCAAGAAGTGGAGAAGACACAGTCTTATTTGTCCTAGTTCTCCCTCAATCCCGCCAAATTTCTCCCTCTGTCAATGTCCATATTAACAACTTCTGCCCTTTCTTTGGTATTTCCTTCCTTTTTCTAGAACAGTGGTTCTCTCCAGGGGACTGTAACAATGTCTGTTGACATTTTGGGCTGTCACAACTGGGTGAAAGTGCTTTTGCATTGAGTGAGTAGAGCCCATGGATGCTGCTAAACATACTGCGATGTACAGGAGAGTCCACTGCATAGCAAAGGATCAACTGTCCCAAAATGTCAGTAGTTCCCAGAATGAGAAAAAATGCCCTGGACCATTTGATGTTTGAGAAAGCTGGCCTCCTTTCAGTCCTACTGCTAGAGACTAGGTACAATGATGGCGAACCTTTTGAGCTCGGCGTGTCAGCATTTTGAAAAACTCTAACTTAACTCTGGTGCCGTGTCACATATAGAAATTTTTTGATATTTGCAACCATAGTAAAACAAAGACTTATATTTTTGATATTTATTTTATATATTTAAATACCATTTAACAAAGAAAAATCAACCAAAAAAATGAGTTTGCGTGTCACCTCTGACACACGTGTCATAGGTTCGCCATCACTGGACTAGGAGGAAGCCATTAAAAAGATTCATGATGATTTTACCAATTGTTTTTATGTGAGACTGGGTCAGTTTCAGTTGCATTTTTTGGTCACATCTAGGGTTCCAGATGGGATAATAATAGTTATCATTTATATAGTGCATACTGTATACTAGGAACTTTATGTATTTTATCTTCAATTCTCATATTAAAAGGCAAGAAATTACTCTAAGATCAAGATAAAAGTGTAAATATGAGGAATTTGACCTGTTGCCTATTTATTTTAAGAGTACTAGCTCCAACAGGCTCTATGTACTTACTCAGATGTACTTACATGCATTGAGATATTATCTTTTGTTGCTGGCGTACATGAATGAGTACATTGTATACACTGGGTGAAGGAAAGTCATAAAATTCTGGTTTGTCTTGAGACCTTCGTCAGAAAATCAAGTTTCTTCCTGTTATTTTACTTATCCTGGCTTTGCTATCGGGATGGCAATTGCCTCCTTTAGTCTTTATACTAATACTGCAGGCTTGAAAAGGTCATTAAGTCACTAATCTGTTTTCCTTGTGTCTCTGAAGGCCAAAGGTTTGCCTTTAATTTTCTCCCTAAGGATCAAGACTTGGGTACGTGACATAACCCCTTTGAGCTTCAGATTCCTTACTTGTAAAATGGTCATAAAATAGTACTTACTTCATAAAGTTGTTTGGATACTTTAATGGAATAATGGCTATGAAACAATTAACACATGCTCCATAAAACTTAAATAATTTTATAGGTTTCAGTCTTATCTTTCAGTAGGAAACAGGAATACAACCACGGATGCTAGGCTTTTATAGGGGGATGTTTTGTTTTCTTTTGTTTTGTATTCTTGTCCCTGCCACTTTATTTTGGTTTTATCAAACCCATTCTCATTACCTACACGTATGCTGCTAAGATAAATATTTTGCTTAGATGTTTAAAAATTGTATTCTCATAACAACCTTTTGAGATTGCATAATTCATCATCACCATCTTACAGATAAGGAAAGCAAAGTTTAGAGCTCTCTAGTAACTTGTCCAATGCCATACAGCTAAGAAGTGATAAAGCTAGGTCAATTTGATTCCATTCCATTGCTGTGTTACTTCATGCTAATCAGCTCTCTGAATCGTCAGTTTCCTGTGGGTCAATGTCAACTCTCTATGTGCTTGCCTTTCGATTCATAAATAGTCTCTGTTTCATTATTCAGAATTCAGGTTACCACTATTCAACTTCCACAACCTCAGTTGGCCTCCAAGATTGGACCTCACAAAAGGATATCAGCCGAAACCGGTTTGGCTCAGTGGATAGAGCGTCGGCCTGCAGACTGAAAGGTCCCAGGTTCGATTCCGGTCAAGGGCATGTACCTGGGTTGTGGGCACATCCCCAGTAGAAGATGTGCAGGAGGCAGCTGACAGATGTTTCTCTCTCATCGATGTTTCTAACTCTCTATCTCTCTCCCTTCCTCTCTGTAAAAAAATCAATAAAATATATTTTAAAAAAAAAGGATATCAACTTATCACTGTCGACACCATCCAGAAGTGGGTCATTGTCTTTGTACACTTGGGAGTCTGATTTTGTTGGTGATCCCAAAGGTGATGAAGTGTTTTTTTTAATGTGTTTTTATTGATTTTAGAGAGAGACAAAGTGAGAGGGAGAGAGAGAGAGAAACAAGGATGAGAGGAAAACATAAATATCGATTAGCTGCATCCTACACATACACCCTGATGGGGATCGAGCCAGAAACCTGACTGGGAATTGAACCAGTGACCTCCTGGTGCGTGCATCAACACTCAAACTCTGAGCAACACCATCCAGGTGGTGATGAGGTTTTAAAGACATAATTCCCACTCAGAAGTCACCTAATGATATGTAACTGAGGATATCCTCATGTTATTTTATTTTTCGCTTTGTTGATCCTCATCTGAGGATATTTTGAATTTTAGGGAGAGTGGAAGAGAAAGGGAAAAATAGAAAGAAACATCAATGTGAGAGAAACACATCGATTGGTTGCCTCCTGCATGAGCCCTGACCAGGGCCCGGGCTGGGGAGGAGCCTGCAACCAAGGTACATGCCCTTGACCAGAATCAAACCCTGGACCCTTTGGTCCACAGGCAGACGCTCTATCCACTGTGCCAAACCGGCTAGGGCCTCGTTATTTTTAATAGCAAATATTTGTAAATCAGGATTCTGATTAAATTTGTTATAGTGTGTGTATGTGTGTGTGTGTGTGTGTGTGTATATATATATATATATATGAAAATTATATAACAAATAAAAAGAAATAAAGTGACTCTTTATGTCCAAGATATGGAATGAGTTCCAGGACATATCGTTGAATTAAAAATAAACAAACTGTGCAAAGTGTGGAACAATTTATATAATATGCTGTAATTTATATGAAAAAAATCATTTGCTCCCTCCCTCCCTCCCTTCCTCCCTTCCTCTCCCTCTCTCTCTCCCTCTTTTCCCCTCTCTCCCTCTCTCTGTTTCTCTCTAGAAAAATGCATGAAAACTGATAGAGTAGTTGATTCT